CCTGCTACTCACCCAGGGGGGGACTGAGCCAAACGTTTTTTAGTTTTAACTGCTATTCTCAGATTTCCTGTGCCTTTCCTGTGCTTTCTCCCATAGAAGCTGCTGCCATGCATGTCTGATGTCCAAGAGTGGTTTGTCCCCACTTATTTGTATTTGGGGGTTTTGGAGATAGCTTGACACAATTTTACTTAAAATGCTGTTCATGGGTCTTTGGATTTGCTATCTAGTCGCTTTGTCTGTTTCTATGTGGAGATTCAGCAAGAGTGAAAAACCATGCCACTTCTGTCTCCATCTTGAAAAAAACTTTTTGTTTTCAACCAAAGGAATGAATAGATTTAAGAATGGCCATGAAGTTTTTCTTAGTACATTGAACAAATGCTTTGCTTTACAAAGATTCTATTTACATACAACCAGTGGGAAAGTTATCTGTTACATAAAGCTGCATACAGATAAATTGTTAGATAGGTTCGTGCTGAGCTAACAAAACAAAGCTGAACCTATTGGGAGTTTGATCTTGGGAAAATAACTTCACTTCTTAGGTCTTCCTTGTTCTCATTTGTAAAATGCAAGGGCTGGGCTAGATATTATTTTAAGATATGGTCTTAACTCTTCTCCTTACTAGCACCATATTAGACATTATTAAACTCTGAATGGTGGTTTGTCCTGAAAGTGGAAATTACATTAAACAGAGAAGTTCCAGAACAAGCAATCTCTTGGAATGGTCAAGTAAATTTAACCCATTAAAATGAGCGGTGAGGTGGTTATGGAGCTGTGATCAAGTTATAGATTGGTAGTCATATTTGTTTTTAAAGAACAACACTATCAGAATTATCTTCAGCTCTTCCTTGCTCACTGACCAACTTCAGGTAACAGTCTTCTCCAAGATACCTGGACCTGTCTGAGTTAGACAGCACCTGTGATGCCTGGGAAGCAAAGCTAGCAGTTATGTGTTTACTGAATGGAGGGTCTTCATGTGCATCATTCAGTACAATGATCCCATCATCCCTAAGGATAGAGGAGTAGGTCTCACTGGCTGCTCAATAGAAGAACCTGATGGCTTTTAAACTTACTGATGGTTTGGTACTTAACCAGACCAGTTGAATCAAAAATCTATGGGGGAGGCTCTGGCACGGATATTTAAAAAGTTTCCCAGATGACTCTAGGAAGGTTGAGAACTACTAGATGAATATTGCTATCCATGCTTAACAATGATAGATTGAGCCAATTGCCTAAAATCAATCCAAAGTTATATAGTTCTCAACTAAGTAGCAGAGCCAGGATGTAGACAAAGGTCGATGTGTATCTGCTAAGCAGTGCCACCACGTCAGGATGGAAGTTCTGTGAGGGCAAAACCATGTGTAACTTCCTACTGTACTTCCAGTGTTCAACCAGGGCCGGCTGGGCACATGATGGGAATCGAATAAGTATTGTTGAATGAATAAGAAGTTCCACAGTGACTTTTCCTTGACTACATCCGCATAGGAACACACAGGGTGTTTGTTACTTGGCCCTTTGCTCCCATCAAAAGCCATCTGCTCCATTGTCTAAGCATTAGTGTTCCCTTTCTGAGTGGCTCACTTAGCTCTGCAGCTCCACCTGCTGATGCTTCAAACACAGTTGGAATTTCCAATTTCTTGTTGCAATGAACATGGGAGAATCTCTTAAGAGCCCTATGGAATCTGTCATTTGAAAAGGTCTTTGACTCTCCTTCACGGAATGAGGGCTAGGAATGCTGGCCACTTTCAGCCTTGTATTTTCTGCACTCCAGCACCGAAATGGAAGTTTTCATAGGCTGTCTCTGTTACTGTGAAGACAGAGGAAGGAAAAGGAAGCAGATGGCTCAGGTGTTCCATGCTGTGACTCCATATATAATATATAAAAACTATATAATATACATTCAGAAAAGTGCACATATTTTGTCACTGCCCTTTGCACATTAAATATGCAGAGTTGAGACCCATGAGGTAACAATAAGGTGAGGGATTGATTGTCACCAAGTTAAGAACAACCTGGGAAAGCTGGGGTAAAGGGTGTGTTGCATGTGAATGCATTGCTGTAGGGCAGTGATGGCGAACCTTTTGAGCTCGGCGTGTCAGCATTTTGAAAAACCCTAACTTAACTCTGTTGCCGTGTCACATATAGACATTTTTTGATCTTTGCAACCATCATAAAACAAAGACTTCTATTTTTGATATTTATTTTGTATATTTAAATGCCATTTAACAAAGAAAAATCAGCCAAAAAAATGAGTTCGCGTGTCACCTCTGACACGTGTGTCATAGGTTTGTCGTCACTGCTGTAGGGAGCCTTCAATGTCTCACTTGCTGCTGTTCCGAATGGCCCTCCCTCAGCTGCTCGCACGGGAGCGTAGCCTGCGAATCCGTATGGCTCAGGGGTTTCAGCTCAGTCTACACAGCTCCTTCAGATTTTGTCCAACCATCACAGGGGTTGCTAGCTTGAGCCCCAGCCATGTCTGCCAGCTGGTCAGCATTCCATTCAATGGTTCACGCATTTAAAAGGTATCTGCTAGCTTTCCATTGCCTCATCCTTGGTGAGTTCACTAGCAAAAATCGGGGTCAAGCAAGGACTCAGAGTATGACTGAAAACTTTCCATTTTTAACCAGTTTTTATTGGTCTCATTCACTGCTGTGTGGACCCAACTCAGTGAAAATTATTTAAAATATTTTCAACTCCAAGAAGACCTTCATGATGGTCTCATTCCCCCACCCCCCTTTTCATGAGAGGGCATATTCCAATTCCCCGAATACTAAAGGGGAGTTCAAGGTTTGCAGATCAAATGTTATTTAAAATAAAGATATTTTAGAGTGTAAATAATTCTAGAATTAGCTAAACCTGAGTTAAATCTCCACTCCTTCAATTTATTTATTTATTTATTTATTTATTTATTTACTCTACTGTGGTGACATTGGTTAATAAAATTATATCCGTTTCAGGTATACAATTCTACAATATATTATTCTGTATATTGTATTGTGTGTTCACCACCCCATTCAAGTCTCCTTCCATCACCATTTATCCCCCCTTGACCCTCTTCTATCTTCCTCCACCTCCCCTTCTCTCTGGCAATCGGTATGCTGTTGTCTGGAACTCAATACATGGGGGACACAGCACATGCTATTTAGGCTGTGTGATTACAGACCTAGAACATAGACATTCATCCCTTCCCCCTCTGCATTGTAACTCCATGGGATCACAGTTTATATTACTAGAACTTGGCAGAGGCTCAGCTGTCAATGGAATTGAATGCACTGGACAGGCCATCAGCTAGAGGGAGGGAAAATAAGGGATTTTTATTAGCTATATTTAAAAAAAATGGAATTTTACTTTTAGAATGCTTTTTAATATTGTTGCTCCCACTTCATTTATGCTAGCTTCGCTCTGTCTTTGCTGTAAGAATTTAAATAAAAGCCCTGCGTGAGTGTTCCAGTACTTGGTGGTTTACTGAGTGACCTGGAAAAAGGCCGCCTCGGTCTGGCTTTGTCATTTTCTCCTCCGGCTCTATTTCATGGAGATGCTCTGAGGGACTGGTGAGTGAGACAAGAAGTGGAGGGGCCCTGACTCAAACATGCTGGAGTGTGGAGATTTATTGTCTTTACTTTAATATAATAAACCCCCTCAGGGTCTGAGTTAGCATCATCATTTTTCCTTAGTCTGCTCTGTGAAGGCTGCCAAATCTACGTGGAGAGATTGATGCCTCCTTTACTCTGAATAATAGGGACAAAGGCATTCATCAGGGATTCTTCAGAATTTGCTGGCCCTAGAATTTCTCCCCAAGGTTTGGAACTCAAGTGCCCTAGAGCATTTAGGAGGGAATGTAAGAGAATGTGGTCCTGAAGAGAGAAAGCCGGTAAGTGCTTTGTAATGCTCTCTGTGCTGGGACAGGCTATTCACATTACTTTATGTATTTTGAAGTCCTTCCTCTCTAAGCAGAGGGAGGTTGTCATAACTCTGTTGTGTGTGTGGTGGGGGGAGGGGGAAGGGGGGAGGGGGAGCAGGAAGAGTAGGGAAGTTGACCAGAAAGTGACTATTGCAATAGGAGTAGCTCATGTTCCTGTCCATGACTATTGTTGGGACTGAGACTGTGGTACTCAACCTGATCTGTCTTTAGCTAGATATTTCCGAAGAACTAGAAGTGTATTACTATCATCTGGAACCCAAGGACACACATATCTCACCTTTTGCCCTTCTCTCCCTCTTTTTTCAGTCCCCCCCGCCCCCCTCCAATGATAGGTCATTATGCCAGACATGCAGGTGTACCTCCCAGGTTCTCCTCGAGGGAGGGCTTGTTGTCCCAACACGGGGGTGGGGTGTTGTCAGTAGGTGGCCTCCAGAGACTGCCTGAGCTGTAGAGAGATGCCTCACCTGCTATCACACCATCCCAGCCGTCTAAGCAAGACGGGGACGGGGATGTAGAAGTCCAGCCATTTCAGCCTGACACACAACTCTGATGAGCAGTGCTCATTTCGGAGCTCCCCGCTGGCCTAGGCTTCGTTGGACCTGCCTTGAAGTTCAAGTTCTTGCACTTCCCAAGTCTGCTTCCTTTCTTCCCTCTCACAAGTGCTGAGCCCAGTAAACATTATATGCCCCAAATTCCATGTTCGTAACAGCTTCCAAGTGCCCCACCTGTGAGAGGCTCCAGCCGGCCTGGTCCCTGGTAGAATCCCTCGCTCAGAACTCCAGCCTACTCTTGGTATGTAAACAGTGAGCTTTAGATTTCAGAAAACACGTATTTCCTTTAAAACAAATCTTGGCTTTGAAACTTTTGTTGTCATGGATAGAAAAAACAAAACACAAACTGAATTTAAAACTCAAACTTGAGAAATGGCTCCTTTGTTCTAGGCTGTGTTTATCCTTTTTTTTGAAGCAATGAATGCCATTGATTCCATGGTAGATAGCCACAAGGCAAGAGGAAATAAAAAAAAAGAGCTGGAAAGTATTTATAAAACATTGTCCACATTATAGCTACGATGCAGAGCTTTGTCAACTCTAGAGCACTAGACCGCCTCTGTAGCTGTTGCCCTTTTGATGGAAGAGTGCTGTCCTTTCCGCCAGGTTGTTGTCCATTGAACAACTGGGCTGGCCGCGACTTGGTCTCTTCCTCAGCAAACTCGGCTCCAGGTGAGTTGGGAGGCTGTGTAGATGGGATGAAGCAGCAGCCACGATGGCAGGAATGGCTTTCATCTAGTGAGAATATTTTAATGTCAGCCCCTGTCTTTTCTGCCCTTCTTTTCTCAGGTGCTTATTTCCTGGCGCTGGAGTGCCCTTCTAATCCAGAGATTTTCGGACTTCCTCCGAGATACATAGAGAACGACAGGTTCTCTTTCAAGGGGTAGCCTCTTCTATGTGCCTTCTGTGCTTACCTTTTGGCTGTGACGGAGCAGCCATCAATTTGTCCTATGTGGGGACTCCTGTCACTGACAGGTGTGGCCACTGGAGAACCCAAGGGACCAGTGGTCTTCAATTCTCTTTTAAAGGAATTTAGCTGTAGCATTTAGCATTCTTTCAGCAGCCCCTTAGCATCCTTGGCTTCCTTTTAAGAGGGGTCACGATGAGGAACAGGTACTGAGCTGCCATGTGGATCGAGTCTCTCAGCTGACTGTACTTTGTGGAGTAAAGGTCTTTATGTGCCTGGGATACTGAACCAGGCTCAGATGTTGTGGCCCATCTCAAAATTCATAAAGATCCATGGTTTTCTTTAAAAAACAAATTACAAAATTTGTTTGGCCCCTTTACATGGTAAAGTAGATAAATGTTCCCTAAAAAAAATAATATGAATTTTTTTAAAATATATTTTTATTGATTTCAGAGAGAAAGGGAGAGGGAGAGAGAGATAGAAACATCAATGATGAGAGAGAATCATGGATTGGCTGCCTCCGGCACGCCCCCTACTGGGGATCTAGCCCACAACCCAGGCATGTGCCCTTGTCTGGAATCAAACCTGGGACCCTTCAGTCTGTAGGCTGACGCTCTATCTTCTGAGCCAAACCAGCTAGTGCAGAATATGAATTTTTTAAAAAGCTTTTTTGAGCATCTACTATGAGCCATCTCATGTTCTAAACCTTGACACATTATTGTATTTAATTCTTAGCAACAACTCTAAGAGAAAGTTTCTACTAATATTTGCATTTTATACAGGAAACAGGCATCCATCTGGTTCAGCCTCTCACTGTTCATAAGGAGTTGCTAACTACCTTTCTTTTTGAATTACTCAATAACTATTCACTGAGCACCTATTGTATGCCAGGTACAATGGCAGTACCGGGGGGGGGTGGAGTGCTGAATAAAATACAATCACAGTCCCTGCAATGTGGGAAGTCAAAGATGGTTGGAGTGTACAGTTCTTGAGGAGCAATACTTGCATATCAGATTTTTTTTGCTGGGGAATAAACCTCAAACCCTCTGCTTGCTGCCTAAGCCGTCTTAAAGGCTCAGTTGAGAGAAACCAGGTTTCTGGAAAATTTCTAAAGAATGTATTGTATGCAGCCCATTTTCCTTCCAAGTTCCTGATCTTAATGAATGACACCACCCTGGTTGTCATCCTTGACACCTACTTCTCCCATCTCCTACCATATTTATCAATCACTGAGTCCAGGGAGCTCTTTCTCCTAAACATCTCTTGGGTCAACATATTCTTCTCCATATGCAGTGCTACCATCACCTGTTGCCCAGACAACCAGGTGATGGGAGCCTCCTGACAAGGGTATCATCTCTTTGCCACCCTACAGCCCACTGTCCATTCAACACCTGTGTGTGAAGTGGCCGGCTGGATACAAGTACACAGCTCAGAGGTGCGGCCTGGTGGAAGAAGAGGTGTCAGCAAATGAATTTCACAAAGAGGCTCACTGAGGTAGGAGGAAAACCGGAGGAATGTGGTATTGCCAGGGTAGAAGATGGGTGGTTTCCAAGGAGGAGGTGATAACAGGTTAATATAAAACACAAAACAGCCCATTATATTTGCCAGCACAGGGATCATGGGTGACCTTAACGGAGGTGTTTCACTGGCGTCCTTAGGACAGAAGTACAATTCTAGTTCCCCGTGAGAAGGCAAGAGCAGAGGTGGGTGGTGGTGGTTGTTGTTTTCCTGTGTGTGAAAGAGAAATTGAATTAGCCGTTGAAGGAGAATATTAGATGTGGGATTTGTGTTTCTGTTTGTTTATACCACGGGAAATTCTATAGCATGTTTGCGCATTGATGGGAATGATCCAATAACAAGCAAGAGACTGAAAATGCAGCAAAGAGAGGGAATCCGTGAGGAGGTGCTGAGGATGAGGATCAGTCCCAGAGCCCCAGAGGACAGGCGGGCCTTTGCTGGAGGAGCTCTGTTTCCTCCACTGAAACTAGGGAAATGGAGAAGATAGAGATAGAAAAAAAGAAGATGAATAGATTTTGTGGTAAAGAAGATATATGCATTCGTTTCTGATGGTTTCTGTTTTTTTTTTTCTCTTGAACAGCATTTTTCTTTTTAATTGTATTTTCCAATTACAGTTTACATTCAATATTATTTTGTATTAGTTTCAGGTGTATAGATAGCATAGTGCTTAGACAATCATTTACATTTGTTATAAAATGTTCCCCTAGATATTTCCAGTAACCACCTGGCACCATACATAGTTATTACAATATTATTGACTACATTTCCTATTCTGTACTTTACATCGCCGTGACTATTTTGTAACTACCATTCTGTACTTCTCAATCCCTTCAACTTTTTCACCCAGTCCCCCAGTCCCCTCAGCTCCCCCTCCCCTCTGGCAATGATGGTTTATATATATATTTTTAAGCAAAAAATCATTTAAAATACCATGTTTAATTCACATTTGAATAAGGTTTGAGGAACAAGACTGTAAAAAGGTACAAAATAATCATTGAGACTGGAAAAGCTTACTAGGGAAACATAAGAGGAGAGTCAAGTGTTTTGTCCAATTTGAGCTTTTGATCATGAATTTAAAGTGAAACTGGTCAGCTATATTTTGGGTGTATGTTTTTTCTCCAGTAACTATTTTTAAAATATATTTATTGTTGAAAGTATTACATGTGTTCCCCTTCCCCCCTTGTCTCCCCTTGTCCCCCCTCCAACCCACTGCTGCCCCTGCCCCAGGCCCTCACCACCCTACTGTCTGAGTCCATGGATTATGCATGTATGCATACAAGGTCTTTGGTTGATTACCACCCTCCCCTGCCTTCCCTCAGAGATTCTGCACTCTGTTCCATGCTTCCATGTCTCTGGATCCACTCTGTCCATCGGTTTATTTCGTTAATTAGATTCCATATGTGGCCAGTAACTATGTTTTAAATGCAGTGTGGATAAATTGGACTCAGCTGGGCTTGGTTTGATTCCAGGCAAGAGTGACAGAAGAAGAGGTGTAAAGGAGGAGAAGAAATTTTCAAAGAGATGATTGTAATTATAGACATGTGATATAAATGAGTAAGAAGGAAAAAAAAGGAGGAAACTTACTGGTGGATAATGAGAATAAGGTTGATGGTTTGGAGGTATCAATAGGTTAAAGAATTATGTCAGTGAGCTGAATATAGACAAGGGTCAGAGAAACAGATTTGGAGTTGATGCTGATTGTAATAATGCCAAGGTAGTGTGTAATAATGAGGCTACTGGTAGATCAGCTGTAATAAAGTAGAGAGAAAAGCAACTGGAGAGGAGGGACTCAAGGAGCTGAAAATCCAGAGTTTAGATGTCATCTCATTTTGCATACATCTCAATGTTTTATAGTTGTTGGTCTATCTTTTGAACAAGTACTACATTTGTCCTGTCACGGCTTCTTTCCTAATTCCCAGTATAGTACCTGATCTATAAAATACTCAAGATATATTTACTGAATGCACAAATAAGTTCATTCTTTTTAAAAATTTCAAAGTTTCTTTTGAATCGAGAGCTGCACCCTGGACACCATTGTTTTGACTCCTCATGGACCACTTTTTGTGAGCTGCTTCGAGGGCAATGAAATTTACTGCTGCCATGGATGCTCTAAGAAGCACTCCTGTTTAATTCTCCACAGTATTTTAATACAGGAGTATGCTGAAGAAGTCATTCCCTCCCTCACACAGCATTCTCTTCATTAGGACCCACAAGGGGAATTTTCCTAGCATTTCATTGCTAGGATAACCTGTGACTCTCCTAAGTGAACGATGCTTTGTGAGTCTCAAAAGCAAGCATGGTTTCCTTTTTGCTTTGCCCATTTTAACCAGATTTATGGCTCAGTCTCAGCTTTAGCAATTATGCATAAAAATGTGGTGTGTATTTCTTAGGAATGATTTTACCCTTTGCTTTATCTGATTATCATTTTCTGATTTCCTCATCAGGGTGACTTCTTCTCATGGTTTTTTTCTTCTTCTTCTATTCTAGACTCTTTCTTGAGTATTTAATGCTAAAGTGTGTTTCCCAAGTTTTAGCTACATGACATTTTCTTTTAACCACTTCAATTGGTGCAAGTTTCTGGTGATCATGGGGAAAGCAAACCCGTTATTTTATAAATGATGATAGTAAAGATTCATCAGATTATGGCCATTTATAAATAATACATGTTTCTGAGGATTTATGGAGCTAATCTTTTTGAGTTATGTTAGAATGTCTACAGCATATAGTTTTTAAAATGTCATCTATTTTGGATTTAATAGCAGGCACAAAATTGCTTACAAAAAGTGGATACATTTCTGAGCACTTCTCAATGAAGTAAAAAAGCTCCTATCTGAGACTGTTAATTTAATTAAGGAAACTCATGAATTTTTGATCATATATTTGCTTAATCAGATGATATAAGAAGTGTAAAGAGAACTGAATCATGACCAAGGAGCCTTGGAGTCTTGTAAGAAGGGCACATGCAATACTAATCAGAGGTCCGATGGCAAATATGGACAGAACAACTGCTGCATGGGAAGAATGAATGAAACAGGAAGATAAGTGAAACACTACAGGACTAAGCACATAGGCATACTGGACACAAAAATCTACAGACTGTAAAGAAAATGAAAGGGGGATAAAGAGGAAGTGTTACAATGTGAGTTTTGCAATACAACATATTGGAGAGTCATTAAATATAGTAAGTACATTAAATACTGTTGCCGGAGTGTTTCTCAGCATCTAGAAGGGCTCAGGAATCTGGAAAAGGGGCTGCAAGTAAATTAGTAAAGAGACTAGATATGAAATATAAATTTGGAAGGCATTTTGGGGAGCCAGAGGAGACCTAGATTCAGTAACCAAGTTTTCCGAATCTCTGGAGCGCTAGCTTTTTATTAACACAAATTGCCCTAAAGCAAAACAGATTATATATATAATGTAAGGTTTGGTATACAGTAGGCATTGTCATTGTCAGGTTGGGGGAATTGCTTTTGGCTGTTCAGCTGTTTGGCCAGCAGCAGGTAATAATGTAGATTTTCAGGTTTGGGGAAATGCCCTCAGCTGTTTCAGCAGCAGGTAATATGATTCAGCCCTGCTGAATACAGAAGCCCATCAACCTTTTGAGGACTTCTTGCATTTTATTATGCTCTGCTGGAATTAGCTTCCAGCACACTGTCACTGTGGGAAAGGTGAATTCATAACATTAGCTGAGACACCTACTGTGTTTTACAAGTGTCCTTTTCCGCAGATAGAAATGCAAGCCTGCGGGACAAGGAACGATACATGGGCACCCCTCAGCAAAGGCACGTGTCCCGGCGGAGTGAGACCCGACCACTGCATGTAGGTTGGTTAGGGACAACTGGAGGCTTCTTTCTCTATAGTTTGGTCACTAGTCTCAGTACGTGTTGTATAGAGAAGAATGAGATTGTTAATGGTGTTTGCAATGAAATATAGGAATAAGTAAATAAACAGCATTAGAGTTTTATCAACAACTGTAAAGATCTTCCAGAATGGTATAAGCTATATTGGCACAGCTAGTTTTACATATTTTTGTAAGCTACCGCCAGTCCTTTCTTGGGAGAAGCTGGGTTACTCCTTAAAGAACATAAAACAAGACTACATAAAGTCATCTGATCACTACTGGATTTTTAAAAAATGACTCTGGGGATGGAATGTTTATTGTTAGTATTATTAGAACTACTAGCGATCATACATTGTGTGCTTCTAATTTGTTAAGCAATATGCTAAACATTTTTATGCCTTATTTAATCCTCATAGCAATTTGATGATAAGTACAACCACTATTCCCATGGATGCAATCTGGAAATATTTAGTGAGTTCTTAATATGTGCTGGCAACTTCTCTAAAGTGAGGGAGACAAAGACCTTGCTTTCTTGGTGCATCCCTTCTAATGGAGGACAATGAACATAGTAATGAATGCTAGGAGGAGTGTACAGTTAGACAAGGGGATGGAGAGTGACAGGAAATGCCATTTCAGACAGGGTGATCTGGAAGGACCTCTCTGAGAACAGGCCACTGGAGAGGAGACCGGTATACAGAGAGTGTGTCATTTTACAAAAGAGGAAACAAGAGCCCAAAAAGGCTAAGTAACTTGCCAAGGTCACACAGATGGAAAGTGATAGAGCTGGAATTCAAGTCCAGGCGTATCAAACTCTGGAACCTTCACTTTTCACCATGAACTTCACTGCCTCCAGGTTCCAGGCTAATTCCACTGCAGGCCCAGAGGGCAATTTTGAAGGTAGGATCTCAACTCCTGGCATTACAACTTCCCAAGTCAGGGCATGCTGTTTGCTGAGACTCAGTGTGGCCATCTTGCTATGGCCACTGCAGTGTGGCTAGGCTACAATTTCATGGCTGGGGATCCGTTTTGCTGTGTGAAAATAGTGGGAGGGGAGTGTTTGGGGGAACTGCGATGCACAGTGTTGGCATTTCTAACGTGCTGCTTGACTGTGAACCTGCAGAATGTTCAAACTGCT